CCATACACCCACAGCCACACCCTCACACCCACACCCCCACACCCACCCACACGCACACGCACACCCACACCACACCCACGCCCTGCGTATCTGTTGTTCTGGTTACCAATGAAGCTCCCGCACACTCAGTTACACATTTTGTCCTTGAAAAGTGAGGTATTGAATTTTAAATTCTAGCATATGCCTTTGATAGTCTCGTACTTACAGAAGATTGCAACTGCAAGATGACACCTAATCAAAATCGAAAGACTCGGCTTGAACAGTTTTGTAGAGATTCGCTTGCTCGTTCTTGAAAACGTATAAAATGGCATCCTCGTGTCCTTAGAGTAGATAAAAAGTATGAAATTGTTCATCATCAATGTTTATTTTAGTAAACAGAGTATACTTACTAGATGTTGGGACTATTTCGATTGCCGATAATCAATGGACGGGACTGGGTTGAAGTTTGATAATCCATAGAATGAGTTTCTAAGAGTTCATTCAATCCATTCGAAAATCTCGTCTAACAACTATGTGATCGTTAAGAAATCATGTTTATAGAACAGCAAGTCATCTCAATCAATTTGACGTTGATATTTATAAAACAAAAGTTTAAAGTTATGTGTGAAAGAAGGAAGAAATAAAGGTATAATCTTAGACATTCATAAAGAATATAATATATTAATCTCATCAAAAATTAAAATTAAATCAAAATAAAATAATGTTCGTTGATAATGTAAGAATCTTGTAGTGACGATCTGATTTCATATATAATAAAATACCGTAAAATATTTAAAGACCAAAGGTAACATTTTCACCAATATTACACTCACACTTCATTGTATGTATGTGATTACGATCTTCATCAGCAAAGAAAATCTTGATAAAATTTAAAAATAACTCAAGAATATTTCGATCGTTAGATATGATTTATTTTTATGAATAAAGTTCACAAATAATTTTTTTCAATAATCAATATTTTTAAAACAAACTACTAGCGTTTGTTTTTGCACACCATCGCGACGTTTTAAGATAGTCCAAAACGATTTTTAATGCTTCACTTGTTCCGATTCGTTCTAAGGCCAATAATGCATTACCATTCACATAACGATTTTGATCAAAATAAAGTGCATCTTTTAATACAGGTATTGCTTCAGTTGCTTTAGCACCAATTTTAGCCAACGATAATGCTGCAGTAATTCTCGCATGAGATCTGTTTACTGTATCCAATTGTTGATCTCGATCAAGAAGGATATGTGTTAAACATCGGACTACTATGTCAACATCATTTTGGTTATTTGACTGAATAGTTCCCAATGCTTGACAACAGTATTTTTTAACTAACCATGAATCAGTAATTTCCAATACATGTACCAATAATGGCAATGTTTCAAGTGCTATTGGTCCCATTTCAGAAAAGATAAATGCGATACAGTATGCTTGATCTTCATTTTTTTCCTCTTTTTTTAATACTGTTTGTAATTCATTAATCACGTTTTTGTTATATCGACAAGCCGTTAATGCATAAGCCGCTTCGAGACGATAGATTTCTTTATTATTTGATAATTGTTCGATTAAGACATGATATTCATTACTTAATGCTAGATTATATGCTGCATTAAGACGAGTTTCACTATCTGGGTTGTGTAACTGTATTTTCCAGTTAATGATATCTTGTTCAGTAGAAGATTGTTGTATTATCATTGTACCACCCATCATCCAGTTCCAAACATGTTTGAGAATTGGTTGTAATAAACCTGCATCTGCAGCATCATAAACAGCATTTGTTGGATCATGATTCCACGTTGGTTTAGTCGGTTCTTCGAGCCTATTAAATTGAAATTTAAACATAAAACGATAAGAATCTTTTGTTCGATTGGCTGTTCCTTTATGAACAATATCATAATGAATTAATACTACAGTGCCAGCTGTACAAACCAGACGAACATCATGGTGTTTGTCAGTTTTTATATCAACATCTTCGGGTGGTGTTTTGTTTCTATCATATACCCAATCTGCAGCATCATATTGTGATCGAGGCCTAATTGCAGTTGGACCCATCTCTAGAAGTACATCTTGAGGATAATACATGGCCATAACATAACGTAATTGATGATGACGAAGTGGCTTAGGATAAAGAAAATAAGAGTCTTTATGCCATGGTTGATCTTCCGTTCCAGGTTTTGTTAAATGAGGAAATCGATGTGGTTGCATGGTATATTTTGGACCCAATAAACTTTCTAATGCACCACTTACTACCGGATCATTGAATACATTTTGAAGTTGAGGAATTCGAGGAAGAATATTGTTTCCTGGATTACCTTCATCATTGAAAATCGACAAAGTTTGAGTGAATATGGATGAATGAAAATTTGCATCAAGAGATATAGGTTGAAGAACTAAATAACCGTTAATTAGAAAGTTTTGCATTTGTTTATCTGTTAATAAGTACTGTGTATTCATCGTGAAGTATATGATAATATTGAGAATGTATGTGTATTATGCGATCATTCTTTTTTTATGATGTATAAATACGCCGTTGTTTGTTCTTGTAATAATATTTATAAATCATTTATATGTGTAGAAAACAAAGAACAAGAGAGTAAGCGGCATCTAACATGATTAATTAATTCAAACGAATGAAAAAATAGTTCATCATTAGTTATTAAAGAGGTTAAACAGTCTAGAAAAGTGATTTATTTAATTTTTGTTCTAATAATCACAATTAATTGATGAGAAGCTAGCACGAACACGAAGCATTATCACGAACTGCAATGTTTCGTAATTGGTGATAAGTTCCACCAATGAAAATTCACAATAGTGAAAAGCATCAATATAGAGGAAATATTGTTGGACATGGCTTTCGCTAGCAACAAAAGTTTTACATTTACACATACTAGTGTCGAACTATCGATTATTTCATATAATTTGATGCACTGATACTTATGATATCAGATTTTCTATAGCACAAAAGGGTGTGGGTGTGTGGGTGTGGGTGTGGGTGTGGGTGTGGGGTGGTGTGGGTGGGGTGTGGGTGTAAGGATGGGGGTGTGAGGGTGTGGGTGGGGGGTGTGAGTGTGGGTGGGTGTGCGTGAGGATGTCGATATTGTCTTCATTAACATCCATGCCTGTATCAACACCCACACGCTCACACCCACACCCATATCCTTACACCCATACCCACACCCACCCTCACATATTGTAGCAGATAAAAGTATTAAATTCGATTTATCAAAAACCAATTTCAGTGATAATACGCGACATATTTTGAAAATTTTTATTTTTTATTTAAAATATGACCCATGGGCACCCATCAAAAAATCGGACGACCCAGCCCAGCCCATTAGGACCTCTGAACCAGTATTATCTTCATCATTAACATCCTCATCACCACCATTTGCTTTAGCTGTACATAATGTCTAGCTTTTTGATTTTTTTATGCAGATTGTTTCTCCACTAATAATTGATTGTATATAAAAAATGATCTTATTCAAGATATTTATTTGTAAATAAAGTTGATCTTATTGGTTCATTCAATCAATTATCTTTCATTCAAAGATAAAAAAAAGCCTAATAATAAAAAAAGTGATGCTTATAATGTAATGCATGTAATTAACAACCGTTTAGAAAAAACAATAAGGACATAGTGAAGAACATGTAGATTGTATGATCAATGATGTCTAATCATGTAAAATATTATTTACTCATCGCAACTTAGTGTCCCATTAGGTAATGCTATAATGCCAAATGTATACACAGTATATAATGCTTACCAAATATTTATTGGATGTGGGGTGTGGGTGTAGGTGGGTGTGTGGGTGTGGGTGTAGGTGGGTGTGTGGGTGTGGGTGGGTGTGGGGTATGGGTGTGGGTGAGGTGTGGGTATGTGGATGGGGTGTGTGGGTGTGTGGGTGTGGGTGTGGGTATTGTTCTTTTCGTCAGAAAGATACACACTCACACCCACACCCACACCCACACCCCACACCCACACCCACACCCACACCCACACCCACAGCCCACATCCACACCCACACATCCCACACCCACACCTACACCTACACCCCACACCCACACCCACACCCTGAACACTGTCGATTAAAGATCTTCGGAATCCAGGAAGGGAAATCAGTTCATTGTCAAAATTCATTAACGTTACTGGAAAAGATACTATACCAGGAAGAAAGTATGACAAAACTGGAATCGACCGGATAATTTCAGATTAGAAATGGACAATTCCAATTCTGACTGGCAAACTATTTGAAATAAAAAACATTTCCCTAAAAAATAGTATACTTTTTTTATCCTTCGCCAAACAACTAAATTAGTCATTCAGAAATTTCTATGAACAATGATTTGATCAACAATAAAAACAAAGACGTTACTATGTAGTTCTGTTTAGATAAAAGCAATGACTCATCTCAGTAGTTTATAATCACATTTTAACCTGTGGTCAGTCGATCCCAAAAACAGCTGACGAGTTTTTCAGGACCTTTTCGCTCATTCCGCCTATGTGTGTCAGAAAATTAGCCAAACACGCTTGGTTCTAGATTATTATTTCTTAAAACATCGAAAACTTTTCGTTTGCAACCCCATGATCTTGTCTGGAGCGAGAAGAAAAATCTTTCTTTTTAGTTCTTTACTAATGATTCTACCACAATGCATTGAATAGATTAATAGCTCTATGAATGAATTTGATTTGAGTTCTTTCTTAACGATATTTGCACATACCATTCATGAAAACGCATTAGCCAATCCTAACTTCCAAATCTTGATATCAAAGAACAAGAAAGAAAGTTTTAATTTTGATTATTTATTCTGAAGATATATCCACACCAATCATTCAATAATACAGAAAATAATATAGAAAAAATAAATCAAAAGAAAAGCAAAGATTTTCTTTTATAGTGACGTTTTTCTTTCTTGTTTTTCTTTGATCAGAACACAGACGCTAAGAAAAATAGAGAATTTAATTTTTTTAAAGAAATTAAAGAAAAAATAAAAGAAATACTTAATTAATATTTCTATTGAAAATCAACACGCAAAGATATTTCAGTATTGATTAGATCAGTATTATAAACAATATATTCGTTATATAACAATGAAGTGTGTCGAGCATTTGATGGAACACCATAACCCATTGGAATAAGTACATCACCATTTATATAATAATATTCTATTTAATAAAAAAAATAAAATTTCAATTTAAGATATTCTTTAAAATAAATTCTATCTTTTGGATTTGACATAGCTGATCGACAACCTTTAGTTGAATGTGTACCAGCTGGTAAAGTTTATGCAGATAAATTAGTTGCTTGATAACATTCATGCATTTTTTCAAGTGGTACTTCCCATAAAAGCATTAATCCTTATGGAGATTGTTTTGTTGCAAAACAACAATTTGATAAAAATATTTATTTAAATCAATTGAAATTAACAAAAAAAGAAAAATAACTTATCACTTTTTGAAACCATATCAGCAAAATAAACACCTTTACCAAACATATAACCAGTCTAAAATATTTATTAATCATTTAAAATAAAAGAAAAATATACAACAACTGCTTCAGATGGTGCAATACGTAAATCTTGATCAAGAATATCAGCAAAATTAGTTGTTCTTGAACCATGCCATAATAATTGATGATTATCAAGTGTTTGACATTTTTGAAAACGATCAAATTCTCCTTCACGTATTGCTTTAAATAATTCGCATAATTTTAATGTATATTGATGATGAGTTTTAACATGAGCATTTATCGCATATATTTTTCAATAAGTTTAAGTTCTTCGGAATTATGATCAACTGGTTTAAGAGCACATTTTAATTTTTTAGAATGAACATCTATTGGATGTTTAGTACCTTCTATTGTATTATATGATTCATCTAATACTGAATAAGCTATTTCAATTTCAAATAAATTATCAATCATTTCAGTTTTAAATTTTATTAATTCAACATTATCACGTAATAATGGTTTTGCTAGACTAAAATCATGTGGAATCACTAGAATTAAAACAAACTTTCAGGATTATCAGTTGACAGTTAATGCAAAAACTCTTCACTTTGTGTAGAATATATGTCAATGTTCAGAATTGACCTCAAATACACTTATTCTGAGTTAATTAAGAACAGAAGAGGAGGTGAGTTGAAATCAACAATTTTAAGATTGACTATAGAGAGGCTAGACATACTGAGAAAGAATCTATAATTGGATGACCATAAGCGTGATAGAAAAATCTCAACGATGTGAACATCGGTAAACTTTTACACACGTGGCTTTGCATTTACAGATAGATTCAATCGAGATTGATCAAAATACATTGAATAGATCAATCGGTTAAGCAGTATCTTCCTTCTCTGCACAGAAATCAAATAAAACTACCGTTGAAAAAAATTTAGCGTTAATGTTTTGCTTTCTGTGAAGAAACATGATCATAGACTTTATGACTAAAATTCTGCCGAATACAATTTCCATGTACGAGATTGCTCTTCATATAAAACAAAGTTTCCCCTTAACGAACACCAATGTACGACCTCATATATTCATAAGTTCTTTCTAAGGAAGTGCTCAATGTACTAGAAATCCCAGAAATGAGTTAATTCGAACGAGACAAAGAATTGATCACTAGCGTTTATGAATACTCACGCGTATTACATCGATCACTAGTATCCCCAGGTTAATCACGCCCGATCGGATCCTATCAGCCTCAAATAATTCCGACTAGATCCTTTCGAAAGTTGCCGGAATCCTAACTACCAGATTCTGACCCTAGGATCCGACCAGATTCGTAAAAAAATCGGACCGAATCCTGTTGGATTTTGTCGAATTCTGACGATATCCGGATCGTAATCCGGTAGTTAGGATTGCTTGTTCTGGAATCAATAATAGCTATTTTCGATGCTGTAACCTTACTCGTAATCAAATTTTGTAATTCTGTTAAAACTTTCTAAGCTTTATCTAATTGATTTCTTGATAATTTTCCTAATGGCATTTTAGTTAAATCAATTTCAAATGATAATAAAGCTTGTTTCATATTTTCAACATTAAAAATCATTTTAAAAATATCTTGAACTGAATTTGGTATTTTTGAATGAATATTTAAAAAATATAATTAGAAGAAAATAAATAAATAATAAACTTATCATGCTCTAAAGACAAACTATTGACAACCATTATCAGATTCAAGTGATCGTATTTTCTAATAGGAATTTGTGCCACATGCGATATCGACAAGACCAAGAGCAGCAGTAAATATTCCACCTGTTTCTGTGTCTTTAAGAACATGACAAGTATCTTTCAGTTCTTTAAAAATAAAATAGATTTTTTTAAAATTCAACCTAAATCTGGATCAACAGCACCTCTATCTTTTATTTTTAATTTGATTTTATCTGGTACAGTTTTGTTTAATCGAGCTTAAAATAAAATAAAATTGAATTTATACTTAATTACTTGATGAATAATATACGATCACATTTTGTTGATGCTGTTGTACATGATTGTCGATCAGATTTTATGTTTGCTTCTTGATCTTTTTTCGCTTGTTGTCGAATATGTGATAAAATTCCTCATTTAGAAATTTTACATTTTCCCATAACTATTGACGGACGATCATTTTTTATTTCATTTAAAAATTCTTCTGAAACAATGTGAATAGTTACTGCTTGAACTTGAAGTTTTTCACTCATTTTTTGAATTTCATCTTTTTTATAAAAAAAACAAAATCGAATAAAAGAATTTAAATGAACATAAAAAATACCTTGTGAACTAATAACAATTCGAATAGTATCATCAACTTTTTATGAAAATGTTCCACCTAATCGTTCAACTTCTTTTTGCATAATTGCAAGAGAACTTGATAAACGACCAGTTGATGATACAACATAATTAGAAAGTGGCAAATTCTGATAATATGTTGGTCTAAAAAAAAAACAATCTTTTTTCAATACTATCAAACAACAAATGACGACAAAACGAAACACTTCTATTTCGTAAGTCTAAACAACTGGATAAATCAAGATCAGATAAAATGATCTTCTCTTAAAATCGAAATCATATTCTAATGTAATAATAGTTTTAAAAATAACTTACTCTTGAATAACTCTTGAAACATCGAGTGCTTTAGTAATAGTAACTTGTTTTTCAATGACTCTTGCTAAAACTCGATCATGTTTTTTATATTTCTATGATTTACTAAACAAAACAAAACTTGAAAAATGTCAATAAAAAGACAAATATTTGCAAAGCATCATATTCTGTTTTAATAGCATCTGGTATATCCAACATTTTTCTTGTTCGTGTTGTTGTTGAATAAAAAGATTTTGTCCATTCTATAACATGACCTGTACAACGATAACATGTATAACTAAAATAAACAATAAAAAAACATTTCTAGGAAAGTAATTTTTTATTTAAAAATAAGAAATCCTCAACATTCTAGACAATGTTCTAATGGACCAAATGCTATACAATCTGCAATTGCATCAATTAACTGAATTTAAAAAAGATAAATAATTTTAAAATGCAATAAGTGATTTTACATGTGATTTTTCAGTAAGAATTTTTTGCTGATAATGTTCAAGTAATTCTTTTAAAACGTCATTTGGTACTTGTTTGCTTAAAGCATCTTTATACTTCTAAAGTAATTCACTTTGTTTCTCAAGACAAAAAGCTCTAAATTTAAATCTGAAAACGAAATGGCAATAAACTTTTTTTTGTTGTATTTAATCTTGTTCAGGTGTTAAATCATTATTTTCTTCAATTTTTGATGGTTGATTTTGTATTTATAAATAGTCTTCAAAGATATTCACAAATCAGATTACCTTCTTATGGACATTACTCTCATTTTATGTAGCATACAAACTCATTTTTAATACATCCGAGAAAAAAATTTTTTTTATCTTTTATTTTTTTATTTTTTTCATATAATAAAAAACTCTTGTGTTTGTTCTTGATGTATCTCATGTATCTTTTGTATTAAGTTATAATTAACCATCCTTGTTTATTGTTCGACAACTGTTTATAAAAACCGGTTGTAATATAACGTACTCTTGTTCATCAAGAGGGTACATTTCTTTTGTTTCTAAAAATTGTTTTAAATCATAATTTGTATGTTCATAAACATATTTTTTAAGATCGGCATTAACATGAAAAGATTTATTTGGATCTTTTTTTTCTTTAAGATAATTCAACATATGAACCGGATCAATTTCGAATTCTTTGGACACCTTTTGTAAAATTGAATATAATAATGGATATTCAGATAATAATTTCTTGCTATCAGTTTCTCGTTTTGAATAGATCTTCACATCAGTGTCTGGGAGATTGTTGTGTATCAGTTCTTCACATAACCAATCTTTAGGTATTGAAAATAAATCTCTGATCAACACTTGTCGTTCACGATATTTTTCTTTTTTTATTCTTTTTAATTCTTGTTGTTCAAGTTGTTCAATTCTTTTTTGGAATTCTTTTTGTTTCTTTTGCATTGCTTCAATATCTGTAAGTAATTTTGTATTTGTTGTTTTAATATTATCCATTTGAGTAGATAGAGTTTGAATTTTTGTTGTTAATTTATTAATATTGCTCTAAATAAATCGTATAGAAAAGAACATAGTAAATTGAAATAAAAAAGAATAACTATTACAGAAACATATTTGAATATCTGTGACATGATATTGTAAACACCTTCAATACATTCTGTTAATTCCTTAAATAAGGCATTAAATGATTCAATATTTAATGACGATGTTAAAAATTTTTCTTTAATTTTTTTAAGGTGCAATTTTGTTTGATTCAAAAGGACATCGATTTGTTTCTCATGAATAGAATTTTCAGCTACGAATAAATTGTCCGTTAATGATTCAATTATATCATCCAATAGTTGTGTACATTTTTTACGTTGTTGATCTTGTTCTTCAGGCAACATTTGTAAATTTTCATGTAATTCTTCGATGAGACTTATTGCACGTGGACTGATAAATGGTAATTTATCTTAAATTTGGATATTCATATTGATATTGTTTTTGAGTTGATAACGGATGGTGCAAAAGTTCTCGGAAAAATGTCGCTTCATTTTTCATCGGCTACAACATGTTTTGTAAAAATAAAAAATACCTACTCAGAATCAACGTTGAAAGCACTTTCTAATTGTATTTTCGAAAAATTTCTATGATGTCTTACCTTTGAGTAAAGGCCACGTCCTTAAATGACACTAAAATGTACACTGTAAAAAGCAACCCACAATGATACCGGCAGAAGAAACCGATACTTCCGTATTTTTCAAATATCTCCTATGCGTTCCATCATATATTGTTGTTCTGTTTTCCCTTACATTCGTCGTTTAATTCTCTACGAATCTAGTAGAAAATACTATGGCATTGCTTAAAGATCGGTTCCTTCTGCCGCAGTCATTGTGACTGGCTTTTTACAGCTGTAGCCCATTTTAGTGTCATCTGAGGATGTGGCTGTTACTGAAAGGCAAGACATTCTAGAAATTTTTTGAACATACCGTTAGATAGTGCTTTCAACGTAGATTTTGGATAGGTATTTTTTTATTTTTCGAAAACATGTTATGGTGTGGCCGATAAAAAATGGAGCGACATTTTTCCGGGAACTTTTGCATCACCCGTTAATAATGATATTTGGCAAAATATCAGTGATGTGAAGTGAAGTCAGACAAAATGGCGTCTATTGGCCCACGCTATTGCTAGTGTATATGTCCCTAGTAGAAATTAAAATGCAGTAGAATTTTAAATTCTACTGCATTTTAATTTCTACTGCGACATATATATATGTCGTGCCGAAGTTATAACTTCGGCAAAATTTGCCGTCGAAGTTATAACTTCGGCAAACAGTGTAACTTCGGCACGACATATAGATGTCACAGACGTATCAACAGATGTCGCTGATTGTCGCTTGTGTTTTGTATCACCTTCATTTGCAATGATTAAACAATTTGTATCTTCTAATATATGTAAACCGGATGAAAGTATTCAAGATATTCATTACAGTCAATGTTCCTAATAACGACACTAAAAAAATAACATGTCTTGTTTGATTTGGTGCATAGCTATTTTACACTCAAATCAAACTATTTTTATACATGCATGATCTTGGAAGTGTCCTCTTTCCAATGATATAAGAACCATTTTTCTCTGACACGTAGTTGCAGAGAACCCAGCGGTATACGAAAACAACCTGCGTCTGCTGTTATTAGGGTCCATTTCCCTAATAACAACAGTCAGCTAATTTTTGACCTTAATAACGACACTAATAAAATGCAAGCAAAAATGTACTTTTTGAGAAAAAAAAAATTTTTCACGGTTTCTGATCAAAAACCAAGCAAAGGTCCCATTGGCATTTTTGTAGAGCGTAATGAGCTCTATCTATATCTAAAGGTTCACAATGAATAAATTTCCACTTATTGAGATAGAAAACTTGAAGAGAGAGGGTCTAGCATTGATCAAAAACCAAGTGATCCTAATAACAACACTAAGCCAATTTTTTTCACCCTAATAACAACACTGAGGGTGCGGGTGTGGGGTGTGGGTGTTGGTGTGGGTGTGTGTGGGTGTGGGGTGTGGGTGTTGGTGTGGGTGTGGGTGTGTGTGGGTGTGGGGTGTGGGTGT